ACACAAACTCACTGAGCGAGCAGCCAGAACAGAGCAAGAAAACAACAACAGTGTTCTAAAGCATAACAATAATTATGTCTTACCGTTGCTGTTTTGTGATCAAAAGTCGTGTTCAAGGGAATAAAAACGCTGCTCAAGGTTAATCCAATGTCTCTTAGTCACTTTAGAATTGTTCCTGAGAAGCCATCATTACATTCCTGGCCGCATCGTAGGTATAAAGTTTTGCAGTCCGGGTTTAGGCTTTCTCAAGTGCTGTTTACGCAAGCCTCTCTCTCCTTGACGTAAGTGTAAAGCGGGATTTACTAACCCCCCCTCGATTCTATTGGCTCCAAAGTTTCAAAAAAGGTGTCAATCACCCAAATCGACCTATGGCTTCCAGAGATAGGATCCTGCATAGTATGAATAATGCCAGCAGCGGCTGCTTTACGCACAGACGTAGCCGAAGCAGCCGCACAACCGCTCCAGCACAGCAGCAACGAACACAGCGAACAGAGAACACAGCGAACAGAGACAACAGCAGGAAACCCTGATTAGGAACTTCAGGAAAGGTATGTACTCTCTCTGTTTGTATCTATTAGTTGTGTATTTGGTGTAATCTATAGTAATTCCACACTCGCAAAATACAAAATGGACGCCGCTTTGTTGTTGTAGCGTTATCGTTCAGTGAGAAACTAAAACAATGGCAACATCATGTTGGTGAACGTATAAATAGATTAATTGTATTTCGTGACTATAACACGGCAGTATATAAATAAAGCTGTATTGTATATCAACCCAGTATATATATACTGTTATTCCACACACGCCAAATGGATGCTGTTTTGTAGTTCTACAGACATTGACTATTAGCAGATTATAAATAAAGCTGTATTGTATATCAGTCTATATATATATATATATTTCACACACGCTATAGTATATATATATTTCACACACGCTATAGTATATATATATATATATATATATATACTATAGCGTGTGTGAAATAACAGTATATATGTATACGGTTATTTCACACACGCTATAGTATATATATATATATGAAATAACAGTATACACACATATATATATATATATATATGTATGTATATATATATATATATATATATATGTATGTATACTGTTATTTCACACACGCTAAATGGAGGAATTATTTCTGATTTGAGTTACATTTTTTCAAGTAATTGTTTTTTCCACATTTGTTTTCACAGTGAGGAAGACAAGTATCAAATGGCTTCTAGATCACAGCCATCAACATCTGCCTCATCCGAGCTACGACGTGCATCAGATCAGCATACAGTTGCCCCAGAGCCATCAACATCCAAGCTACGCCGCTGGACGTCTGCACCAGTACTAACTCAGCCTCCCTCTGCATCTTCTGATTCAGTGGACAGAATGTCAGGAGGAAAGTGAAACGGGCTGGTGTTTGGAAGACTAAGGTTGTTACCGTTCCTGACGCTGTGGTGGACTACAACAGAAGCATGGGCTGCGTGGATATGTCCGATGCTTTGATTGGGTACTACAGCGTTCACCACAAAACCATGAAATGGTACAAGACCTTTTTTTTACCATTTTCTGGACATTGCAGTGGTGAACAGCTTCCTTCTCCACAAGGAGCTGCACAAGATGAGGGGTGACCCCGGCAGGACGAAGCCACACACCCAGAAGTCCTTCAGGGAGCAGGGAAATAAATCAGGGAGCATGGAAATAAATCTGCTCAAGACAAGAGACAAGTGTATCCTATGTTTCCTAATTGTTATTGTGTAAGTAAACCTTCCTAGAAGTGTTAGTCGGGTGATAAACATGTAAGGGCTGTGGCAAAGTCCACACACAGACACACACAGACCATTTACATACAAAAAAATTTAATTTAATTTTTTTAAAAACACTTTCATTTGGATGGAATGATTACCTGTAGTGATAATACAATTATTTTTACAGTATGGTACCTGAAAAAGGTCAAATGGCACTGATGGTATCCAAATGTGCCCAAAGGTCAGTCCGCCTGGACTACTTTTAACTAAACCTCTCTAAAAAGGTCAAATTTAACTTGTTTTGCCTCAATCTTGATACAGGGTACTTATTATATGTTATACTTTGGATTCCTAAAGCTTTTAGTCTACTATCCCATCATTCAAGGGTAGTTTTCACTATAAGTAATGGGTTTGTTTTAGGCGGGGGTAAGAATTTACCTTTTTTTACTATGTTCCATCTGAATTTACTCTGACTGAGACATATCTATATTGATTCTGACACTTCTACATCCAACTCACAGATGTAACCTTGCTTTGATAAAAGAAATTATTCATATAACCCTTTTAGAAGTTAAGTTATAGTCATTTGTTTTGGGCATAGCATTTTCGAGCCTGAAACCTTAAAAACAGGCTAATAATGTAGGTATATCAACCCACTAATGGCTCTGTATGCCACAAGTACACTTCTCTTTGTATTTTATTTGCCTTTTTAAAATGTCCAGCAGTCCCTTTACATCAAATACAAAATGATCCATCTCTGCTTTCCATACTAACCCTAACACCTTCAGTACATTTCCACAAGTGGCTGTTTCTGTTGTGTGCTCCACTCCACTTTCTGTCCACTTGACTCTCAGATCTGGTGAATGTGTCACCCGTGTGCACAGGTTCATGCCGGCGTGAGACAGAATCTCCTTTGCTGTTGTGGTAACTGAAAAGGCTTCATCCACATCACATGAGCTGGAAATGAAATCATCAACATAGAGAGACTCTCTCAGTGCTTCCACTGCTCTAGGCTGCTCTGTTTCATACTGCTTGATATGATTTATTATTGTTGCAGCTAACAGGAAAGGGTTGGTGACACTCCAAATGTCACTCTATTCATTCTCATGATATAGCAGCTCATCTTTACAGTCTTTGGTTGGAGGCCCATGTAGCCACAGGAACCAAACATCATCTTTATCCTTTTCTGCTAGAGCTATCTGCAAGAAAGCCTTGGTAATATCTGCAGTAAAGGCTTTCTGGTGGAGTCTGAACTTAAGGGTTGGACCCGTCAGCAAACAGTCATTTAGGGAGTGGAAAATCAGCAAGCTGCAGACTCCTTTTCTTTAAATCGTTTTGGATTGGTTCGCCTGGCACCTTTATCACAGCACTGCACACTTGAGGGGTTTCCACTGCTTCGATCTCTATTCCTTGCTGTGAATTCCACACATTTTTTAGGGACACAATGTTGCGCTGTACTGTTATTGGAGAGGTGGCTCCAAAGGTGTGGAGATGTAGCGTCTCCTGCCTTACCACTGGTAGTCTTAGTGCGTTAACTACACTCTCATGAACGAAGCTTCTCTGGCTGCCTCCATCCAACAGACAGCGTATGACTTTCCTCCCTGCTGGGCCCTCTGTCCACGCCTTGACTGTCTGGAGCAGGACTGTGTTCTGGACAGCTTTCATTTTAACTGTGCTTGACACAGCGGATACCACAGCATCAGTACTTCCACTGTCGGCATCTGGTTTAGCTTCACTTTGATCACAAACTGACTGGTGATGTCTGCGACTACACAAGGCACATGAAACACCCTTGACTTTGCAGAATTGTGCTATGTGTTTTGGGCCAAGGCACACATAGCATCTTCCCTGGTTTCGGCACCAAAATGTTGTGTAATAGAAGCTTCGAATGAAGAACCAAGCGACATCTTGTCCAAACTGAACTTTTACTTTATATTAATTTAACAGTTTCCAACAAGAACGGTGGAAGACAGAGAAAATGCACTCGACATGCTCGCATTCAATTTCCATATCAAAAACAGGAAGCTGTCAGAGCAGGACACATACTTGCACGTCAAAATAAAAGCATTTCCTGTGAAACATTTTACCCTTAACTTCTATCAAGAAGAAAATAAACAAATGTTTCTACTGCCTTAAATAAAATAAGTTACAACACCCTTTGAGGCTCGAGGAGCGGACAGTGTGAGCTGGATTACTGGTGTCGTTTCCTGGTTGCTGTGTGGGGTCTGCGAGACAGCAAGTGTGTGTGTGCGGAACTGCGGCTGAGAAAATATAAGGCTGAGTGAGTGTGTGTGTGTGTGTGTGAGGAGCTCCACGGATTGGTCCATTTGGGTATGGGCACGTCACTGTACCCAGGAAGAAAACAATGGAAAAAGAGAAATCTCCAACGAGGCGTTCTGGGGCAGCATAGACAGGTCTTCTCTGTGTTAGAGTTTTACTCGCTACAGGGAGTACTTTGAGGGTTTGTGACTCTGCAGACCGTTTACATGCAGAAAAAGCTTCATAACACACAAGGGGACGGGTAATAACCAGAGAAGCATGACATGGAACCTTTAATTATATTCAAAATCAAGCATCTACCTTATGTTGACCATTTGATGTGGGAATTAAATAGGTGTGGCCAAAAATGAGAAATACAGTATACTTGATGTTGACCTGGCAGTGTGGCAGCAGTTTAACAAAGATAGGAATACATATATATCCAGTTGGTAATAAATGTATAATATAGATATATACTCTCATACTATATACTGTTTACTAATATGTCCTGTTTCTTCTTAGACATTTACTCTTTTATTTATTCATTTTCATATTTATCTCAGCATTCATTTATTTATTATTTTTTAATATAATCATGAATTTATTTCAGGATTCATTCCTTTTTGTATTTATTTTCAACATACTGTATATTTATTCTTAAATGTATTTAATTACTGTATTATTTATTTCCATATGTATTCTGTTATTTTGTTCATACTTCCATAGTTAATGGCTAGACAAAGGGCCCCGCCCTGACCTATCTTCAAGCTTCATGAACCATCAGGATCTGAAAGTATTGAATTAACAAAGAGGATGTTATATTGCTGATTTGACATTACAATCAAAAAGTCTTAATGTACTTCCCAAAAGACAACAGAAAGCTGACCTCACACACAGTAGAAAAGCAGCAGTGATTCTTGGTGACAGAATGAAGTGAGGACAGATATTATTCAGTCAGAGTAATGAGTGCTGTCCTCTGGTCCTCAGGTCCGATAGCAGGTCATGTGGGTGACGGTAACTTCCACTGCCTCATGGTGGTGGAGCCCAGCGACCCCGAGGAGCTGCACAGGGTCCACCTGTTCACTGAGAGGCTGGCCAGGTAAATCAACGCAGAACTGAACTACTGATCATCAAAACATGAATCTGTTATTCCAGGGTTGTTAAAGGACATTTAAGATATATATTTAAATGAATTGACAAATGCAAGTGCCCTGCCATTTGAACCTCCAGAAATAAATGTATGTAGTCTGCTGGTCCAAACGGTAAATGATCATCAGTATGCACCTTTTAATTGGCTAGTCTTTATTCATGTCATGCTTAACATTTGGCCCTTTCCGCATGGGAATAACAAGACAGCGCTGCAATACCAAACAGCAAAATTATGAGTATCGCTTTCAGTAACACATGTAGAAAACCTTAAGAGAAAACTCAGTTAAAGCTTGTATTTACTTTTATATGCTTTCAAATAACACAATTTGTATTTATTTTTTCAAATCTCTTTTTTTATTCTGCAACCATAAGCAGAATAATTGAAACCTTACTGATGTGTTTAGTTGTATACATGTGTTGTATCATTCTGTGTGTGTGTGTGTGTGTGTGTGTGTGTGTGTGTGTGTGTGTGTGTGTGTGTGTGTGTGTGTGTGTGTGTGTGTGTGTGTGTGTGTGTGTGTGTGTGTGTGTGTGTGTGTGTGTGTGTGTGCCCCCCCAGGCGGGCCCTGGCCCTGGACGGGACCTGCACAGGGGAGCACGGGGTGGGCCTGGGTAAGAGAGCACTGCTGTGTGAAGAGGTGGGCCCAGAGGCTGTGAAGGTCATGCAGCGCCTCAAGGACAGCCTGGACCCCAAGAACCTGATGAACCCTGGGAAGATTCTGCAGTGATGGAGTCTGAGGGAAAGACAGAAACATAAAGAATCTCGGCTACTGACTAAATCAATCAATGATTTGTTCTCAAATATATTTTTGATGATTCTAATTATTTAAAAATCGTATTGCTTCTGCAAAGAAAAAAAAAAGTGTTTTCTATTTCGTAGCGACGGCTGAACTGCGGCAACAACAACAACGTCATTTAAAATGACGGCAGCACTTATGGAGGTTTTCTGTAACTGTCCAAGTCTGTTCAGAGTTTATTTTCCATGAACCAGTCTTTAAACACTGACAGAGCCCATAATGTGTTCCTGTTAATGTTTACTTCCTGTCTGTCTTCTTCTGCTGTTCCCGTTAGTGTTTACTTCCTGTCTGTCTTCTTCTACTGTTCCCGTTAGTGTTTACTTCCTGTCTGTCTTCTTCTGCTGTTCCCGTTAGTGTTTACTATCTGTCTGTCTTCTTCTGCTGTTCCCGTTAGTGTTTACTTCCTGTCTGTCTTCTTCTGCTGTTCCCGTTAGTGTTTACTATCTGTCTGTCTTCTGCTGTTCCCGTTAGTGTTTACTTCCTGTCTGTCTTCTTCTGCTGTTCCCGTTAGTGTTTACTATCTGTCTGTCTTCTGCTGTTCCCGTTAGTGTTTACTTCCTGTCTGTCTTCGTTTGCTGTTCCCTTTAGTGTTTGCTTCCTGTCTGTCTTCTTCTGCTGATTTCTCTCACATCCAGTGCTCTTAACCTCTTTCTTTCTCTTGTTTTATTGTTGTCTTTTTCTTTTCCTTACTGGTGAGAGTGTAGCCATCTTGAATCCAACAATGATTCCATGGTGTTTCGGATGGAACTCGTTTTTTTGGCCACTACTGACGTTAAAATGACAGGACTTTTTTCTGCGGATTGAGGCATCTGCACATTATCCCTTTATCAGAGCGTCCTTCTAGCAACAGTCTGTTATCCTTAGCAATGGTTTGCTATCAATACAAAGAGCAGACCACAGAATGTTCAAATAGCAAATAGGCCAATAAGAATTGAGTATTCAGCTAAGCAAGTAATTCACTGGGGGCCTTTACGACCTGTCATAGCAAGAAAAGCCCGGGTGTTTCTAAGAACACTAACAACATGTTCAGTGTAGTGACATGCGTCAGCGACAAGGCCCTGTACCAGGAAACTGAAATCAAAGCGGCCATCTTCATTTCATTATTTACTTCTGTACATTCACTTTAAAAAGGAAAATCAACATTTGTTCTATGAATTCAAGTCAATCAAGAATGTTTTTAATTAAAAATAGTGGCAGTCCATTGCTGTACTCTCTATGTGGGTTTTTCATGCTAATATTATAAAGCTGTATTTGAATTAGGACTGATTTGCATAATTGCCTGCTAATAAAAAGCCTATTCCCACTTTATTACCAAACAGTACAACAAAATAAACCACCAGTTACTGAATCCTTTGAATCTGTCCTCACTTTGTTCCTGCATATCGTGATCATTCTTGTTTGATATTTAGCAAAAATGCTAGTATTTGCTTCTCCTCTGTTGTATATTATTGTACGCATGCCATATTAGCTGGTTCCCCTTTTTCCAGTGGGCCAAAGAATGATGCTAGTTAAGCTAAGCTAACCGGCTCCAACTATCAGACTGGTATCATCTCACCCAGCGCCATATAGATAGAAGAGTTACGACAACGGAAGTCCAAAAAACGGTTATCGTCACGTGGTTCATGTAGACGAGGATCGTTCCTCGGAAGTTCATGGCGGGCAATGTGAATGCATTGATAACAGGAGATAGAACTACGATTTTTGGTAATTATTAGTGAATAAAGGTTTTGATTTGCAATATTTATACAACAAATCGATATGTGTATGTATTTACATCAATATGTTTTAAAAAATAAAATAGAATTTGCTAATATTAAGTGATAATATTAGGATTAGTGTGAACAACTAGTTTACATATTTGGCTAACAGTGCCTTGGTTAAAGAGCCTGTTGCTGTTTATTTATAGCTTTGAATTCTTTAAAACCAATATTATCTTCTTAAACTTGTATGGTAGTCAGGAGCATCACTTTCTAATGTTTATTGATATATTTAGAGGGAGGGGATCTAAAGTAATGCTTTAAAATTCAGATTAGATTAATTTCTACCATTTTCTTAAATTCATGGTAGTTTCAGTAATCCCATGGTAATTGAGGACACAAGTTATCTAAATGACTAATGTCATCTTTATGGCTTTCAGAAAGGACAGGAGACCGACAGGTGACTATCAAAGGACTAGCAGCAGCAGCAGCAGCATGATGATGATGATGATGTTAAATGTGTTGTTTTAGGAACATCCATTGCAAATACATGGAATTCAATAAACATTGAATAGCATATCATGCAGTTTGTCTGTGCCTTTTCCTCTGTGTTGTCCTGGCATATAGTCTCCCCCATGGTTTGCTGTGCTGCCGGGGGATGCTCTAATCGCTCAGAGAAAGGAGTACACATGTAAGGTTTCCCCACTGACACAGAGAGGAGGAAAGAATGTCTGGCTCAAGTCAGCAAGAGCAATTTAACTATCACAAAAGACAACAGCAGCAACAACATATGTGAGGTAATCATATTTTTCACAAAACGAAGACCACACCATTGGGAAGCTTAATGTCTGTTTAATAAAAAATAAGGAACAGGGAGAGGCTTGCAGAACTCTGGGAGTTCCCCCCTGGGGTTCTTGTGCTGAAAGAGGGAGACAGGAGAAAGGGTTAGATACATCTAGCAATAGGGTGGGAAATTGCTGACCTATTTGAAACTTACCTTGTGTTTTCACTCTCACTTAAGTCCCTCTCCCTTTGCCATCAATCCAAAATCAGCTTAGCTGCAACATAATACAGACAGGTAATAATCAACAGAATCACAAAGACATTATATGGCTCTGCTAAAAACACTCACCCATAAGTTATGTTTTAGTTTACTGTTTAGAAGTCTCAAATATCCACTCTAAATCCATATCAATAGCGATGTATCACAAAAATAGCTATCTTCCTTATTATTGTGTAACGTTAACTATATTATACTAGCTTGAACTCCAAGATGGATATCCTCATTTCACCACCCACTACAATCACACGCCCCAATGTTATATTTAACTAATATGTAACTCCCTCCACCCCGGATAAAAGCAGGTTAAGAAGCCCCGCTTCTCTAATTCCACAACGTTGGAGGAAATAACATTAAGAGAACGGATTAATAGGCTGTTCGAGGCGTGTGTTGATAACTTTATCCGGCATTCTAGCCTAATCTGTAAACGTTAAATATACTGATTGAAGGGATAATCCACTAACATCCTTTAATACACATGTGTAGTTAATTTGATTCAGATGTTCTGATAATATCCGCAATATAAATCTTTAAACATCTTCTTACCTTCAAAAGTCCATCACGAACGGTCTATTATGCTGCAACCATAGACTGCTAGCCGCAGATCCTCTCAATAGTTCCCGGATGTTAGCGGCAAGCTAACTTCCGGGGAACTATTGAGAGGCTCCACGATCCGCCATTGCTGTAAAAAACTGGTCCATTGGAGTGAACGGAGATGTCGTAACTCTTCTATTATGGCTCTGGTCTCACCTATGGACAGAGTGATTGAGTGTACTACATTTAAACTGTTTAAATGTTTACAATTCCTCAGAGAATGTATTATACATATTATGTATACTTTTTTGAGTTGAATACCTGTATTATTTCAAATTATTTCAACCATTTTCAAACTGTCTCATTGTATTGGTGTCGTATCTCCTTTGGGCACGCATCAGCGTCAGAAGCTGTCGTACATGTATTTTATATCCAGTTTTAAGCCATATTTTTACCTCACATTATTTTGATCTTGGTTGTTTCGCTGACTAATATTTACCCAAATTAAGGATTTTTGTCACGGGACGTCTGAATCGTAAGATTTTTGAGAAACAAGCTAAGCAAACGTTAGCAGCAGCCGAGCAGCTAGCAGGGGAAACTGATTAGAAATGTGACTCCAAGTTTTCTTCCAGGTTTCTAAGTCTTGCACAACAAGTACATCACTTGAAATATCAATTTCCAATTTTATTTTTCAGGCTTTGACATAAAGTGAAATATATAAAGCAATCCTATTCTGAGTTATAATGTCAGCAAACAAGCTACATCAGTAATGAGTCTGATCTCCCCTACAGACAGTATGCACCTCATGTCAGCAGCTACAGAATGCTGTTATGACCTCGCTCTACTTATAGAAACTGGTAGGTGACTCAGCAATAGTCACACTTGTACATGTTGGTATCAGAGAGCTGCACAACAGCATGCTAAATAAAAAATGATTAGAATGTCAATTAACCTTCCTGTGGCATTGCAAAACATAGAGATTTTTACTAAATGGCTTTCTTTGCAAGACAAATTATGCTTCAGATTGATTCAGATGTTTCCAGGCTGTCAGTCTGCTTTCACATCATGCTCCCATGGACATTGAACTGGACAGAAAGGAGATGTGCTGACTCAGCAGTCAGGCTGTTTGTATTTACTTGATCCGGCCCTGTCACAGAGAAGAAGTAATACTGAGCTGTGCCCCAGTCAGACTGTGGGGGGACATGCAATGTTTTAAAGATGGATACTATCAAATGCTGTTAGCTACCTCCTGCCTTTATTATCCTGTAAATATTATTATCATAGCTGAAATGAACATTAGAAACACAATAATGAATCCATGCACATTATCTGATCTGTTGAGGACACCAAGGTTATGTCTTCAATTGTATTTCTGTGCATTTGGAGCTTTATGCATGCATAACATTTCACCAACACACACGTATTTAAACTCGCTGGGTTTTTAAAGGTCAGTTCTGTTATTTGATGGACTTATATCTTTAAAATGTTGCCTGATCTAAGCAGATCAAAATTAAACGATGAGGTCAAATTCTCCATCATGACAGAATTTAAACCATTATAAAGAGTTCAGGAAATATGGTGACACTTTCTATTTCCACATCTATGGTGCATTATCAACAGCATTCATAGTGAATTATAAAGCATTCATAATTATTCATACTTGATAATAATCATCTTAAAACATAATGAATGTCACTTATGATCAAATACAAATAAAGTGTGATGGATTTTCATGCACAAAAATCGCTAATGATAAAGCAGATATTGTGGTGACAGTTACGGGACATCATTCACTGAGTCATATAGTGTATGTTGAAACCCGGACCGGTTAGTGAGGGTAACGGGGTTTGGGGGTATTCATGCTAGCTTATCATACAGAGCAGCACATGTACTTACCTCTTGTGTATTAACGGATAATAAAGTGTGGAAGTCCATTCTGAATACACCGCCTCCGACTCCCTTTCATCGGCTCTACACTGGTGACCCTGACGTTTTCGTGAAAGTTTCCGAAGACTCAATGAACATGGCTGATCGCAATGTTTTTTAAATCTGCCGGAGTTTTGGGAGCATGCCGCTGCGGCGTGTTTCGCACACGTGGAGGCACACTTTGCCTGCCGCCAAATCCGTTACGGGGATTTGAAATATTTCCACGTGGTAGCTGCGATGGGAAGCTCCACGTCATCCAGGTTGGTGGGATTTATCGCAGACGTCCCGCACCATGGCAAATATGAGGCGATTAAGGCCCTTCTCCTTAAGACATTTAGCTTATCTGCTAAGGAGAGGGCCCGCCAGATACTTGACATTCAAGGCCTAGGAGACAGCAAGCCATCTCAGCTAATCGAGAAAATGCAAAATCTGCTAGGGGGGGAAGATCCCCAGATTTGTTCATATAGACGTTCCTGCGCCACTTGCCTTTCCGGGTTCAGACGGCGCTAGCCAACACGTCCATTACGGAGCCCCGTGCCTTGGCTGAGGAGGAAGACCGTTTTTTCCTGGCTACCCAGCAGTCCGGTGCAGAGGCGCTAGCTGTGACGCTCGGCGGAGGCTGGACGTGACGGTACCAAGCCGGCGTGGGGACACAGAAGAGTGTTTTTACCACGCGCGGTTCGGGGCCGGGGCGAAGAAGTGTGTGTCGCTCCCTGCAGTTACAAGCTTCCGGGAAACGGAGGAGCTGGCGCTCAGTAGTGGCCCTGAGTGTTGGCGGCACGAGCAGGCTTCTCTTCATCAGCGACAGAATCTCAGGAAGCTTGTTTCTGTGTGACACAGGAGCTCAACGGAGTGTTGTTCCTGCGTCGAGGGAAGACGTCGCTTGTGGGGGACACGTAGCTAGGGCGGAGTTTTCAACCATGGAACGCCTGGGTATCGTCCGCCGTTCTGACAGTCCTTGGACCTCTCCTCTACACGTCGTTCCCAAGCCGAACAGTGGTTGGCGCCTGTGCGGGGATTACCGCCGCCTCAACGACGCCACGACGCCTGACCGGGTAGCGACCCGGTGCCGCACATTCAAGACTTTTCAGCACATCTGGCCGGTACGTTGGTGTTTTCTAAAGTGGACCT